CCCCAGCCCAATTTATTTTTTATTGTAGGTATAGTTTAAAATTAAATTAATGTCAAGCCCAGTCCAAGTCCATCTAACACACGTTCCAGACTTCCTATTCCACCTGCGGAACTGCGGAAGCGACGAAGACACGAAGCCCTCCAGCTGCCCAGCCGACCGGCGCCGCCGCCCTCCGTCCAGGGACCTGCGTAGGCCATCGGAAATAGGCGTCCCTCCGGACTCCAGACTCCGGACTCTAGCTCTCTGCCTGACTCACTGACTGCCTCTCTCCGACTGACCACCTTTTGCTAGTAGATATTAATAGATACGTATTAATCAAATCTTAGGGTTCTTTATCTTCAAACATCGCAACTCCCTCATGGCGGCAACAGTCAGATCTCTCCGGCTCCGTAATAAACGGCACCAAGCCATTTTTCTCCTGGATTGTTCTTTTTCCAGTTCGGATCAACCTCACCCTAAATTAGACTACTTGAAGAATATCCATAAGAAACTAGTAAATTTGCCAATCCGGAATGCTCCTCCGACGCCGCATTCTCCCCCTTCACCTTCATCAACGAACGTGACATTTCAGGGTATGTACAATCGAAGTTTTCTCTCCCAGGAGAAAGAGTCCAAGCCCGATGCCTCAAAGCCCGCCACCGACAAGACGCCCTTTGGGGCTATCGGTAAGTGTTTGGCTCAGCTCCAGCAAAGTAACCGGGGTGCTGCTCCTGGGAAAACGGGGTTTCCGCGTTCACTTCCTAACTTGAGGTTGAGGTCTGGTGATATGAGCATACAAGAACAGGCGGCACCGATTGGTAGTGAAAAGTTACGTACATCTATGCTTAACAATGGTAGCAAGGATTTAAAGGGCAGGAATAACGCAGGACTTGTGAAAAGTTCATTTGAGCTTGGGTATAATCACTATGAGCTGGGTGAGAAGCTGAGATCATTGAGGCCGGATCACGTGGGAAAGAAAAATTGGTTTTCGTTTCAAGAATTGAATGATAGGTTGCTTAAGGTTAAGGAGATTGCCGATAAAGAGTATGCCGCTAAACAGGGTCAAGCTTTTGCAGATATGAGAAAAGCTATCAAGTCAATATCAAACCCTTCTAAAGATGCTAACAAGCAGACTAATACATGTGAGTGCCAAAATTGATCTTTAACTATATGTATTACTTGCATAATTGCATTATTACTTTGGTTCTCAATATCTAATGCTGTAGGCCTGTAGTCATTGGAACTAATGCTCAATGACCAATCTTTGGCTAAAATATGACATTGCTGTTCTTTGTAAATATGATTGCAACGAAAAACTAATCAGTCCCTAGTTTTCCTTGGGAGTATGGAATCTTAAATTATTCAGATGTATTTTGAAATGGCATAATTTGCTGTTTTTGGAAAACATTCCCTCTATTGAAATTTCCATCCTTATGAGAATGGCAGTGGAACCCTCTTTTTATGTAGAACCACACACAAGAAATCTTTTTTTTGTTTGCAAAATATGTTCTCTAGTACTAATGGTTTTTTTGTCTTTCTTATATTGGTTCACACAGTTCAGACTTTGAATCTTATTGGCTTACATGGAGAAAGGTATGAGTACTTATCAAGTCCTCCCAAGGAGCACTTACTTGAGAAGGTGAGTTTTTTATGTGTTTTCCTTAACTAATAGTTTATCACACCCTCCCAAGGAGCATATAGTTGAGAACATGACTAACCTAATCTATTAAAAATGAAGATCCTACCATATAATATGAGGACCCATATGAGGATTGTATCATATAATTTGAGTATCCATGTAATTGTATTCCAGTAACTTGTTCATTTGTGTTCCTGTTATTGCTTCCATCGTGTCTTCCATTGTTCTCATGACAAGTTTAAAGCATTTTTACTCTTATAGATGGAGTGTTAATTTTGTGTCATTATTTTGCAGTATTTTGATCCAGCTCTCATGTCATCTGCAGAGAAAATGAAGTTGGAGCTAAAGAAAGTCAGAGATGAATTCAAATTGACAGAGTCTGATTGTGGCTCTGCTCGTGTTCAGGGTAAATGTTTCTGAATTCTGTTTCTTGTTAACTCTCATCGCAGGATTGTTTGTTGTTTAGCTTTATCTCATTCTATTCCTTGTATATTTGTAGACTGTAGAGTGTAGAGGCTTTTTCCTATTCCTTCTCCTCCACTATTTAAATGCTAAAGCTCAAGTGTTTTTGAAGTATTTTGTTGGTTCCTACACCAAGATGCTGTTTCGCTCTCAACAAGGAATTTACTCGCAGCTGTGCCCTTACGAGTTACGACCAAATAATTTATTTTTCATTTCTTATGCAGTTGCTCAACTTACAACCAAAATCAAACACCTATCAGGTGTTCTTCATAAGAAGGTAAGTATATCTTGACAAGTAATCATATCCGTTATTACATTGTTTCAAAGATGGAAAGATGCTGAATTGTTAATTACTACAGAGTAGCAAAGATAAATAAATAAAATAAAATTCTTAAAGGCTAGGTTCCCTGTGAAAAGACTTGCGTTCACACTATGCCCTTTGTTTTGTATGATTTTATTTTCAAGAATGAGTCTGGACGTTAAATGGCTAGCTATTCTTAATCGTGCAGTCCTTGTTATATAAGGAACTCTAGTAGGATCTTCTCAACCACACACTCCTTGTTATATTGCTGACCATTATGGAACTTAATGAATTGGATTTGGTTTTCTATAGTCCTTCGTTCAGTGCATTTGGTTTCTTTACAAAAGATCCAATGTTATGTAGGACAAACATTCTCGAAAGGGTCTTGAAGCGATGGTCAAGAAGAGGACAAAGATGATGAAGTATCTCCGAAGGACTGATTGGGACTCGTACTGCATGGTGCTATCTAAGCTTGGTCTTCCCGAGAAAGAGTACTACAAGAGCTAAAGCGGCACATGGTCAAATGCATGTAACATTTGGAGATATGCACTTTTCTGCAGATTCTCTATGTTGCTTCTTTTCCTATCCCCTCCTTTTAATGGTGCCATAATTACTTCTGTGCCTAGTGCATAAATGCACTTGCTGCATACATACATTAGAAGTACACATTATGAGTTTGTCATGTATCTTCCTGTTACAAGTTTTTTTAATTTTGATAAAATAAAGTTGTGTTGTTTCATTAGCTAGACATAAACTGAAGGACAATCATTTTTGTTAGGTTTTGTAACGGGAAATGTTAGGGGGAAGACATCAAATGAAGGACAGTCATTTTTGTTAGGTTTTGTTTTACACTTTTACCTCTGAAAATTCCAAGCAACATAAGTTTTCTCTAATGAAGTGAAGCCCCCCCATATAAATCTCTAGAGCTCGATATTAGTTTTCTCCAATCAATCTCTAGTGATTGTCTCCTCAATCACTAGTTATTATGTTTTTCTCTATGCTTTGTCTCATATTATTCGATATCCAGTTGTCCTAGGCATATAGAAACCATGCCTATCCATAGTAAAGTTGGTGATATAACTCTACTGTAGGAGAAGTTTTGCGAAAAAATAGTATTAGAGGCTCAAGAACTCTCATTCTTTTTCTTTTTTTAAAAGAAAAAAATAAAGCCGACTTATTCACAAACCCAATCAGGACATCCCATCCTTCTCAAGTCCTACCCGAATCTTTCATTCTTTCAGTCCTTTGTATTACGTATATAATTTTACATTTCTCTATCAAACTGCATAATTTTCTTGGAGATTATAGTCTATTACACACTTTTACAGTGCGGCACAAAATCTTGTTTTAACTTGATTTGTGGTCTTTCGAGTTCGCTTTGTCTTTAGAATGAAGATTGAACACCGCAAATGAATCCATTTTGAGCATGAAATTCCAATACCCAGCCATACTTGCCCATATGAGGATATCAATGAAGCACTCGGGTTCCACGGAAAGCAAGCTGCTAGTCGAGACCGGCTGACCGGGCAACTGAGAGCAAATAGCATCTGGCCAAGATGATTCCTAAACACCTCTGCGCCTCTAGAATTGAAGGAGATAGTGGTGCGGGCGATAGCTATAGGTGTCATGGTTCTGGTTGAGCATTGAAACAAGGGCTTGAGAGAAGAGAGTCGGTGGCTTGAGGCAAGTGATTGGAGGGTCAAGCGGGCGTTCATGTATCAACCCTAGTGTCGCAGTGATTGAAGCACGATCGGGCCATCTTCTTCCTTAGCTTTCTCCGCTTTCTCCCATTAGCTTTCATCTTATCGATTTGCGTATCTCTCAACCCAGTGATGTAGTGATCCAAACTATCTGATGGTGATATCGATGCTCAGATATTCTCGGTAGAGGTATGATCCAATTGGATTGCTATTCTCTTCTGATTGTGTTGATTTTGTTTTATGGCGGTTTCTTCCTGTGCACTGGTTCTCTGGGATGGTTTGTCTCTCTCGATGTGGGAAATTCTGTTGATGTTCCCGGCTAGCTTAGTATGGTCGGGGTTTCTATCTGCCTTCTTGTAGAGTGCGTAGACATTGATAGAGCTCCTCCTCCTCCAGAAGAGTTTTGTGGAAAGACTTAACTTCAATTTTATTTTTCCATTAGTATTACCTGTTTTTATTTTAGTTTCACTAAGTTTGGCCCGGAAATTTGGACTTCCGACATACATTTGATAGACAATATTACAATTCCGATTGTTTTAAGCTTTAAATCGTCAGTTTCGTGTCTAACGAATCAGGTTGCTTAGTCATATAAATGTCTGAATGTTATCTTGTATCTTTTCTCTATTTTGATCTAAAAGCCGATCCTTTTTATTCAAAAAGAACTTAATTTGTGGTCTAGTTCATATTTTGTTTCAAGTTGCTTTAGGCATGTACCAAATGAAAATATTGAGAAATAAATCCTAGGGTTTAGGAATGGTAAAAAAGCTATTTTAAATAAAAAGGAAAAACACAAGTAAGAGTAAAGATTGCAGACATTAAATACTTGGGAATGTGGAATACATAGGAAATGACGAATATGTCCACTTATTTGTATTTTTTTTAAATCATATTTTTGTCGTTTGAATTAATTATGAATGTACGCAATGATACCCATCAATGTGTGATCGAGAGTTGTACAGTTGTATGTTCTGAAAGCTCATAGCTACTACTGACATAGTGGCATCTCAACAATTAGGCAAAATAATACAGAACAAAATGCATTTGTGACCACAAATAGGAATAAATCTTGTGATGGCAAGTCAATCATATATTCATATCTAACAATGAATCTTAAATTGAATCGTAACTAACATAAAACAGGCATAAATCCAGTCAGCGGAACGATTCACAGCTTCACTGCATAGAGCACCTGACACCAAAATTAAGACTCCGGCCAAGCCCCTCATTTTCTCTAGTCTCACACACCAATACCATTAGGCCCTGCTTGGTTGGAGGATTTTGGAGGAATAGTGAGGGAAGTGAGTGATTTGTGTGTATTTGATTGAAGGAAAATGGAAATAGGAGGGAAGGGGAGGAAAGTGGAAGACTTCCAAAATCTCCCACTTTCTTCCATTCTAAACCCCCCAAATTGGGATATTTCGGAGGAAACTTGTTAATAATCACAAACGTTCCATCTCCTACAGGGAGTGGCAAAAACGTTAAAATATAAAAAAAGTAAAATAATTAAAAAAATTAAAAATTTAAAAATTAAAATATTAAAAGATTAAAAAATAAAAAAAAGGTAAAAAATCAATAAAAAAAATATTATGACTCATGAACTAAGGAGTAATATTTACAATAGTTAGAGATGTATCTATTTTTTAAGTAAGTTATCAAATAAAGGTAAATTGAGACAATATTTTCACTATGGATGTTTTTATTCGTCTCAGACCAGATTAAACAAGACTTGGATAGTTGCAAAATACAAACAAACCAGACCAGCAAATTACAGTCCAAGTAAAAACATCCTAATCTTTTCCTCTTATACCCTCCAACCAAACACAAATTTTTATCAAAATCCATCCCCCCTTCCCTTCTCTTCCCTCCTTGATCCTCCCCTTTCCTCCCCTCCTTTGAACCATTAGTTCAAAAGGGCAAAAATCAGCCAACACAATAGTTCAACATGCCTAACAAAAACAAGCAAAAATCCAAACAATAAAAGTACTGAATGTGCAACTTAAACACACATAACCACCAGTAGCGGTCCAAAGTGCCTTTCCAGTGTAGAGCCACTGACATCAACATTCATTCGCAGTCAACAATTGGAGGACAAGGTCCCAGTCCCATGATCGAGTCGAGACAAACCAGTTTTAGCACCACTACTAAGCCTCGCCTTTTGGGATCAGGACCGACTGGTCCTAGCATGATGCCGACCCCTTCTTTGTATTAAAAGGACGGGTGGTCCATTTAAAAGCTCAAAAAAGGTGGATATAGAGGGTGGGGAGTGGTCCTGGATTCGGTTCGGGCCACCCGGCCCGGGAACGGGCCTGGCCCGGCCAGCTACTGTGCGGGACCGGTCCGGTGCTGCGGGCCCCAAACCGGTCTAAAGGCCGTTAGCTAGGAAAAGCGGGGCAGACTCGGGTCAGGGAAAAGGAGGCCCGGCCCGGTTCGGGCCAAATTGATTTTTTTTCCTTCATTTTTTTGGGTTCCACCCGGGTTGGGCTTGATGTTTAGGAGGGGTTTGGGGGGTGGGGGATGAGGGGGGGGGGGTCAGGGATACTTAGGAAAGCAAAAAAAAAAAAAAAACCCGAGGCCCGGCCCGGCCCGGCCCGAACCCGACCCGGTAGCTTCCCGGGCCGGTCCCGGGCCTAACTATTCAGAACTGGCGGCCCGCCCGGGTTTAGGCCCGGACCCGACCCGGCCCGAATCCAGCCCTAGTGGGGAGAGGGTGTTGAGGGGATGGACAGATGGATGGTTTATTAAAGATATATACAAATAAATAAATAAATAAATAAATAAATAAATAAATAAATAAATAAATAAATAAATAAATAAATAAATAAATAAATAAATAAATAAATAAATAAATAAACCGGGACGGTGGGTGAACCACCATCGGAAATACAAGTCCGATTCACAAACCTTGCAAATTTTTTAGGACTGGCTAATCCAGGACTTGGAACCAAACCCTGTCCATGAGATCATGACTACAGTTAGGATTTGTTTGCAACAGCTTCTACTTTAAAAAAGTGTTTTTTTAATGAAATGGAGAGAAGTGATTAAGGAAGTGTTTGCAATTGCTTCAACTTTAAAAAAAGTGATTTTTTAAAGTGATTTTGGGAAAAGTGATTAATAGTAAAAGTTGGTAGTGTTTGAGAAAAAAGTGATTCTGAAAAAGTAAAAATTGGTAATGTTTGGTAAAATAAGTACTTTTTGTGTAATAGAAAAAGTGAAAAGCAGTTTAAAGCACCCTTCCACCTGGTTCCAGTTTTTAGCTTTTAAGTGATTAAATAAATTAAGCAGAAGCTGTCATTTGAAAACACTCTTTTTAGCTTTTTTTAAGCCAAAAGCTGAAAAGCGCTTTTTTAAGCAACCGCAAACACTGCTTAAATAAAAGTTGATAGTGTTTGAGAAAAAAGTGATTTTGAAAAGTAAAAGTTGACAGTGTTTGGTAAAATAAGTGCTTTTTGTGTAATAGAAAAAGTAAAAGCACTTTTGACACGAAAGCCGAGAAAAATAAAAGTTGTAGTGTTTGGTAAAAGAAGTGTTTTTTAAAGCCAAAAGCTGAGAAGTGTTTTTTTAAAGTGATTGCAAACCAGCCCTTAACCATGCAATCGTTCCAAACTCCCCCTTTGGACCCCTGATTACAACTAACCTAACCCCACACAGTACAACCAATTCCAAGCTTACTCAACGGCCTTCACATGAACAGATCCGGAGTCTTTGTCTTGCTTAAGAGCAAGGCATGGTGCCCGACCATTTGGAGTCGTCAGATCAAATCTTCAAACGACCAGAGATCTCGCGGCTCACATCTCAAAGCTTCATCTTCCTCATCGGACGATCCACCTACGGCAAGGCACTCTGCCGTGCGGCAGAAGATCACAATCCCACATGAACTGCCTTCTGCCTTTTTTGGCCTTGCGAGTTCCTAAAATCCCCAGAGTTTTTCCAAGTCATGAGCTGCCATGCCATTCCAAAAGCAACAGCCCCATAAGATAACCAATTGCTATTTGTTGGGAAAGGAAAATAACTATTCATGTGTATTTATTTGGGATAAAGTGTTGATCATCAACAACAATAACTCAATGCCGCAAATCCTACCTACCGTAAAGTATGGGAGAGTCAGATGTGCACAATAACTCGAGTGAAAGTCACGTCAAAAATTGCAGAGACCGACTGTTGTTCATAATAAAGAAACGCAAACAATTTAGTTAAATATTTTACTTTATTCCATCATAAATCCAAGCCAAAATATAGTGAGTCTTTAGATAAAATGTTAATGTGTAATCTAAAAACCAGAACAATAATCACATACTCTATATCACTTTCTTATTGCCAACATCATCACATTGGGATACCTACAAGCTTAGGACCCCCCCCCATAAAAAAACAGAACCATAATAAACAAACGAACCAAACAAAAGCAAAACATTGCAACTACAGCAACAAATCACGAATGAGACATCCATGCTGCAAGAAGATCCTTTTCAACTTTTCAGACAGGTCAGAAGGAGATGTTACTCTTCTAAGTGTCTGGCAAGACAAGATAATCCGTTCAACAGCTCTGACATCAACATAGTCACACCTGCCCAAATCAATTTCGCGCAATCTTCTACACGTTTTCCCTAAGTCCTCCACTCCAGAACTCGTAACTTCTAAGCAGCCCTGAAGAACCAATTTTTGGAGCCCAGAGCATCTGATCCCCACCATTTGAAGACCTTTGTTACTGACTGCAGAGTAAGCGGCACTTAGAACCTCTAGTTTTGGTAACTCACATCCATAACCAATACTTTGGATCCCTGAACAGAAATCAATTCCTAAGCTTTTGATATCAGGACAAATATGGAGAGCATTAGCAATCCCTTCTTCAGATATACCCGCGCAAGCGGAAACATCAAGTTCCTCTAGCTTCGGGCATATGCAAGCAATTTTTAAAAGGCATTCGTTAGTGATATCATCATTCCATCCCAATTTGAGAGTCTTGAGACTCGAGCTTTTGGAGCAATGGAGTGTGATGTCATTTCTTCCCAATCCAGCGTTCTCCATGTGAATCTCTTCTAGTAAATGGCAATTTCTTACAAGAGCAGAGATTGTTGAGATTGTCAATCCACTACAAGAATTTAACTTGATAGTGACTAGACTGTGTAGGTACACGGACAAGATCTCCATATCCTTATCAGTGAGTAAATCAGAATCCCCGAGAGCAAAGTACTGAAGTAATGGACTCGCACGAACAAGGAATGAAAGCCCTTGCAATGTGAAGGTCGTACAATTCACAAGAGACAGCCTAACTAATGGAAGATGAGCTAACGAACATAGAAAAGCATCTGGGACTATTGAGCTTCCTAGATCAATCACATGTAATGTTCGACAATAACTTTGATAGACTAATGAGTGGGTTCTTGGAAAAACAATGCAGCTAGCAGAAACCGAACACAAACTTATACTTTTCCTCATCATGGAGAGAATCGCATTTGCAGTGATCAAAGGGCAATCCAAAATTTCAATGCTTTCAAGGTTCAAACGATCAACTAGGGATGCAATGGAGCTATCAGTGATGAAATGATTCCCAGAAATACTGATTTTCCGCAAATTAAGCAAACTAGAAGATAAAGCCTCAATTCCTTTATCTGTCACAATATGTTGAGATGCGGTCTGTCTCTCAGATCGAAAGACCATGTTTGGATCACTAATATCTAACTCTTCTAAACAAGGAAAAGAACAAGCTATAGCAAACAAATGAGAGTCGCCCATAACAGGCACACGGCGGCACTTCAAAACCTTCAAATTTTTAAAAACTAATCCGGAATAGTTCGACAGATCAAATTCTATTTGATGCCTAGATATATCAAGTTCTTTAAGGTTTATTAGCGAGGCAAAACGCTCGATTTCAGAGAATAGCGGACGGAGATCACCTTTACATTTACTGAGGTTAAGGGAAACGAGGTTGGGGAAACGGCATAGGAGTTTAGAAAAGGTACCACTGCTGATCGGACCGGTCACCGATAATCGGATCAGGAGAGCGTTTGAGAGAGTATAGAAACGCTTGCAAACCAAAGAGAGGGATTCAAGGTCCCAGCCGCGATTGAGATGCCTAAATATCAGATCCCAGCATTCTTCCGGCAAGTCAAAACATGGGCCATCGGCAGCCATGTTTGATGAACAGGGAGCAACTTCGAGCGATTGGGGGGATTAAGGGAATTTTATAAACTGAGGACGACAAGTTAAGAGTTGACGGAAGCCTATATTATACATCTATCTCTTTTTTTTGATACATCGGAAAGGAAAAGGACAAAAATAGTTACTCCATTTGCATCCTCCCAGAAAGGGCGTGTCATCCAAGTTGGAGCTTCTTGAAAAATAGTCAAAACTTCTGACGCTGCATGCGAAGCATTCGCCAAAAATATTATACATCTATCTCTACATTCGTCTTCTTTTGAATGAACGTTAAAAGCCTAAGAATGAGCACGAACATCAGTATGGATAATTCTATTCACAGCCCCCAAATTGCTTGGTACAACCACTAAATCTTTGAAATATCTAAATTACCCTTGATAGCTATTAACCATCGTTGAAATAAGGCAGAAACTTCTGCTCGTTAAACTGGATGGAGGAGGAGAACAACACTGTTACGAAGGGGCTAAGATGTTGTTTGAATTTTTGGAAAGTCGTAAAATTTGTGAGAAACGAGCAGTTGATCAAAGTGCTAAGGTATCTGTGAAAAAATATAAATACACGCATCCACGATGATTGTCTTCAACGGAAGCATATCTGAACTGGGTCACGTATAATGGATTGCCGGCGACATAGTCTACCGGCAATTAAAACAAAATGGCATCGAAGCAAACCCACTTCTACTCATCCACAATTCCACGCATTTGTTTATTTTTAATGAATTTTGGGTTTCTTCTTCCTGTATGTGAGCTATGAGGGTTTGATGACCTTAAGTAAGCAACCAAATAGATACGGACTAATAATTAGACCTAAAGTGAGGCAGAATATTACAACCAGTATTAAAGCTTCAACTTTCAAATATGAACACTCCATAGTTAGAGGGCTGCGACATCCAGTTCTTTGGGTAACCTACCGGCCGTCTTAGATTAGATAAGGGTATAATGGGAATTAGAGAAAATTTGTTGCTGTATTTAGCAAATCAGGGGCTGTGATTAGAATTCCCCCATCAGTATTCTGTGCAAAATATCTGCTTTATATCTTCTAATTTGTTTTTTTTTTAATTATTTTTTTGTTTATAAAAAGTCTTAAATTATCTCTGTAATCAATTTCAATTAATTTTAATATGTGAATCTAATGTAGTATCATACGTTTGAAATGTGCAACATTTTAAAATGAGCATAAAGAGGTATCAAATGAACATACATAACTTACAAAATGTGTATAAAAAAATTCAAAAGCCTATTTGTGTATGTTCATTCGTTTTGGGCTTTATAGTCATTTGTGTTTAACATAATGTGGTATGATACGATTGAAATGTGCAACATTTTAAAATGCGCATAAAGAGGTACCAAATGAGCATATATAACTTACAAAGTCAACATCAAAAAATTCAAAAACTCATTTATGTATGCTCATTCATTTTGAGTTTTATGTTAATTTTAGTATATAACATAAAACTCATTTCTAATATGCTCAATATTTATTTGTGATGTTGATTCTTTTTTGGTATTATTTCAAATATGTCCGTCCAATACTCCAAAAAGCCAAAAACCTGATTCGTCCAAACATAAGGATTTTACAATTATTATACTTGCAAATAATGGCATGTTCTGAATTGCGAATTAAGGAGCACTATTATTTGCAAGCATGATTTTGCTTCCAATAATCAATAATATAAGCCGAGCATTATCCCACGTCATCATCCGGTTCCTCGTCGTGTGCTTCAGATTTCATTCGCATCACTCGTCTTCCGATCTGTTGTCTTCCCTGATAAGTTGCAGAGCCCAGATTTAATTGCAAAAATGGTCGGATGTACGGTGCTCACCGTACAATCGACTGTACGGTATAATTTACGAAGTTAAGACTATTAATTAAGGAAGACTTCAAAAATGAAAATGATAAAAAGACTACTCGTCTAATAAAGAGGTTATTATTTACTTTTTTTTAGACGCCACATATAAAAATTTTCATATCCATTTTAGGAAATTATTAATAATCTTAAATAATAAATTATCATTAAATATTAGAAATAATGCATTTATAATATCACAGTTATAACACTAACTCCATTGTATTATATATCATTATACCTATTAAAATTATTTTTCAAATATACATGAATTACCTTATTTAATTATTGTCTAAATAACCCTGTCACTTTTCAATGAGAACCTTTCAACGGGACGGAGGTAGTATCAATTAAAAATCTAAAATATCTTTTCTAAAGAATCTAAAATATCATAAAACTTTATTTTCCATTTTCTATTTATTTATTGTAATACTAAAGTTTTTCAAAACTATAGTAATAAAAAAGTCATGATATTTTAAATCTTAGTTATATAGTTTCCCGTCATTGAATCTTGTATGTATCATCAATATTCATAATAAAAAATTGCTCAGACGTTAGCTAGAAATTTTAAAACGGAAATTGCTACAACCAATTACCCCCTCCGTCCCAAATTAATTGTCTTGTTTGCTTTAGCACAAATTTTAAGAAAGTTGTTGGAAAAGTAAAGTTGTGGTTGAGATTTGAGTGGGAAAATGTTGAATTGATATGAGCCACATATTATTGTCAAAAGAGGAAACTGGACAATTATTTTGGCCATTTGGAACATCCCAAAAAGAAAAACAAGAAACTTATTTCGGGACGCAGGTATTGCTAGAAAACATTTCACAAGATATTTTTCCATTTTGAATTTTTTCCTTTAATTTCAGCGTAATAATGCGTCAGAATTTTTTCTTACGGTCAGATAGAGTGACATGTTCTACGATGATAATGACATTAAATGCAGCATAGTGACGGTAGCGACATACGGAGTATGTAGTAACTATATATTGGCGACATAATATTCTTTCAGTGACATAATATTGAATTTTTTGGAATTAATTAAGCTTCAATTAAGTCAAATTTAAAGAAATACCCCCAAAACTTAGACCAGCTTGGAAATCTCCATCTTTGTCACCCATATATGGTCATATCACAACATGTCACTTTATGTAACAAAAAATGAATTTTTAAATTTGCGAAATTTGTAAAGATTAATAAGTTTTATGTTAAATTAACAAGTTAACATAAGTTATTATAGCACACAATCTCAGCTTTTTTTTTACGTAGTACAATATAACTTTTTCTTAGTTTATGTTGTGGTGTGTATATATTTTACATTTTCAAATAACTTTCTATATTTTGTACATTCAGATTTTATTTTTAAATAACACATACATTCAATTCAGATATTTGAGTTTTTTTCCTAATTAATGTTAATTAATTAATTAATTACGAAAATAGGGTTGGGTTAAAAGTATTTACCAAAATACTGCTGGGTTAACCATGGTAGGGGTAAGTCGCCCAACGGTTGGGCGACTTATAAGTCGCCAAACGGTTTGGCGACTTATAAGTCGCCCAACCGTTGGGCGACTTTCCCTTTAAGTAAAAAACGGGTCCTCCCCCAAACAGAACACTTCGCAACTGCAGCCCCAAATTCCCTCTAGCGCAGCACCTACGGCAGACGAAGGAAGAAGACGACCGAGCTCCTATCCAACTCCGGCGAAGCTTCATCTCCAGCCTCCCCACTCCGGAAAACCTCCATCTTCATCTTCAACACAATCTTTACTCCTTATTCTAGGTAAATTCAAATCCATTTCATCTAATTTTGCACCTAGGGTTTAGAATGTTAAATTTTTGAATTTTGGGATTATGAATTGATTGTGTATGAAGTTGTTGTGAAATGTGGATATGTATGAAATGTTGACATTTGATTTTAAATTAATTGTAAAATGTTGTGTGTATTTTGACATTTGGGCATTTGGGTAGAGTTGAATGTACCTAAATTTGGGTATTCAAAGGTAGACATTGAATGTAGATATCAAAATTTGGGTAGTTTGTTATTGAAATGTGAATTGTTTGTGAATTTGGAGTTAATGATAGATTACAATTTTGGAAGCAATTTCTATTAAAAATGTGAATGTGTATAAAGTGTGTATATTGATGCCTACTCATGAATGTTGGACAATGAGTTGTTATTAGAATATGGATTTCTCAAGCTTCCCACTCGTGTGTCATTGGGGAGGGAACTATTATGAGAATGGTGGGCAAATATGCCATGAAGGTGGCAGAACGAGCTTTGTCATGGTTTCTCGTGGCGCTTGCATGCTCGAGATCCTTCAAAAAATACATGCAGCGACAATGATTCATCCCGGCCGTTCATTGCGGTTGAAAATGAAATTTCCCATGAACGGGGGAAAGTACATGCTTATGCCGCTCATTGATGAGCTAGCTATAACAAATATGTGGGGCATAATTCAGATGGAGGATATGTCGTCGCTGGAGATATACATTGAGGAATGCTTTGACGCTAATGCTACTCAATCGACATCAAATGCTGGTGTATCTAGGCATGATGTCAGTGCAGGGGTGAATGCAGGGAAGTCGTCAAAGGTTCCTGTACTAGACATGGTTATACAGGAGGATGGCAGGTATTTGCACAACGGTGCGTCATTTGTGGATGGGCAGGGAAGTGATGATGATGCAGACGAGAACATCAATGGTGACGACATGACAGAATCTGATGAAGATGATGGTGATACTGTGACACCAACTGCCCCGTCTAGTCACTTCACTAGAATGTATGATCTCCCTGAAGGTTTTACTGATGCGTGGATGAGTGGATCAGGTGAGAAAAGGTTTACCCCCGATGGTGAGTTTGAGGTCGGTCAACAGTTTGACAACAAATAACAAGTCATCAATATGGTGAGCTTGTATTCTATCAAACGGAACCAATTCTATCGGGTGATAGAGTCCGATAAACACAAATGGGTGGCACAATGCAAAAGGAAGAAAGAATGTCAATGCCCCTGGAGAATACGCGCCACAAAGAACAAAGGCAACCTTGACACCTTCACAATTGTGCGTTATTCTGGACCTCATTCTGCTTCTTGTGTAGGCAACATCGACACTACAGATCACGTGGCCTTGACATCAGAATTCATCTGTAAAGATGTGGTTGACATTATTCGCACTGATCCTTCTCTTAAAGTGCATACTATCATCGAGATGTTGAAGGAAAAATATGGGTATACTGTATCTTACCGGAGAACATGGATGGGGAAGCAAAAGGCCATAGCACAAATATTTGGCAGTTGGGAAAAGTCATATTTCGAGTTGCCCCGTTTCATGACAGCGCTCCAACATTCTAATCCAGGAACTGTTGTTCAGTGGTACCCACCCCCCAATGGTGCGACAGGTTATATGATGTTTCAAAGAGTTTTTTGGGCATTCAAGGCATCAATATCTGGTTTTAAGCATTGTCGACCCGTACTTACTATTGATGGCACACACATGTATGGAAAGTACAAGGGCACATTGCTCGTGGCCATGGGTTGTGATGCGAACAACCAAATTTTCCCAGTCGCCTTTGCAGTTGTTGAATCGGAGAATGGAGACAGTTGGCCATGGTTTATGGCATGTATTAGGCATTTTGTGACTAACAGGGAGTTGTGTGTCATTTCAGATAGACATGGAGGTATTGTTAGGGCAATGAATGAGGTGGGAAGTAATTGGGAGGAGTCTTATGCGCATCATAGGCTATGCATCCGTCATCTTGCTTCAAATGTGCACACTCATTTCAAAGACATTCATTTAAAAAATCTATTTGTGTGGACCGCACGACAACATCAGAAAAAAAAATTTGATGGTGGGTTCAAGAAGATAGGTGAAATGAGTAGGGATGCACGACAATTTTTGGCCAACATTCCTCCAGAAATGTGGTCGCTGCATTGGATCGGATGTCAGAGGACCAGGTATGGTGTGTGTAGTATAACAGTAACTAGAATAGGTGTAGAATAAATACTAATTTTGTATGTTTACGAAACAGATCACATGGATGCCGTATAGACCTGATATGTTAGCAGAGTTGCCCCCAGCTGGCCGAGAGCAGACTCACATATGGCGAGCACGTGTGCCGCTGATATGTTTTGACATTGTTGAGCTTCATTTGCCTGATAGAGTCATGCGACAGTTTGGGTTTGAGCAGGTCATTCCACGTCCTATCGACACTTATGTAGAGCTGCATAGGCTGGATAGGCGTGGGAAGCATACAGAGGATTGGGCACTCAGACATGTCCGATACGTGACTATGTGGGATAGGAGAGCGGAGCTAGCTGTGGCTGGGACACCCACATATGTGCCATCAGTTTCAGGAGATTACATGGGATGGTACTACAGCATCACTCGGTTGTTTGTGTCTCCTTCGTTCAGACTCCCTACTCATCATTATCAGCCTAGCTCATTGGCATTGCATCTTACAGTGAGTATATTACTAATTAGTAAAGTAAGTCATTTTATTTATGTAATACTTGTATGTATTTCAATGTAATTGTAATTGTGTTTCGTATTGCAGACACGAGCTTTGCAGCGCATACATCAGCGGGCTACTGCCACTGTGACTGATATTCCTGATGTGGACATGTATGGACAGACTCTGACAGGCATTGCCTCATTATGCTCAGATGTGTTGGGTCGAGTAGACTACGGACATCTTATACACATGCCCGCATCTCAGGAGATGGCATCCACGTCTAGTGCAGCTGCGGCTTCATCATCCCAGACGCAACATGAGAGAGTGGTTCTTCAACCACGACAACGCCGTAGGCGTAGACATGAGCAGCAACATCTCCATGACGAAGCTGATGATGGGAACTTGTAGTTTGTCTTTTGTATTGTAGTTTTTCTTATGCAGTAGATGTTGTAGGAACAATTTACAAGTTTTGATGTATTTTCTCTTGTTAAGTATTCTATGTTGTATTGATGTGTTCGAGTATGAATATTATATGATTATTTGTTATGGCATATATGATGATTGAACTGTGTTATACCGGTTATGATTTGAAAATTTTTTAGCGGTGTTTATAAGGTGTTTTTTATGTTGTTGAGAGTAGGTGATTATAATGTGTTGTATCTAGTTCGTAATACTTTAACAGGAGAAGGGAGACCTTATTTATAGCAAACAGATGAGTCTGGGTTGAACCGGGGCGAAAAACCTGATGAAATGCTGTTTTTGGACATAGGCACGATCGTGCCTACCTTTCTAGGCACGATCGTGCCTGGCTGGCAGTAGCTGCTCGGTTGTAACCATATTTCAGGGCAAAGTCGCCCAACCGTTGGGCGACTTTGCCCTGACCACGGTTAGGGCCAGCAGTATTTTGGTAAATACTTTTTTTCCAGCATTATTTCCGTAAATAATTAATTAATTAACATTAATACGGAAAAAAACTCCAGATATTTTAGTCGGTCATCACAACTTCAATTCAAATAAGTGAAAACACCATTATTCTGCCCCACAAAAAGGGCTCCAATACTGCCATAACAAAAGAATAACCTTAACCTAGCTTGAGGGAAATCCAGAAGGAGTTGCATGCAGCTATTCTTGTGGGGGTGAAAATATGGGGACAAGTGGCGGCGCCGGTGCAGAGAAATCTGGCGGCGCGAAGTCCGGAACAGGCGGCGAAACTGAAAAGAATGGCGGCGGGTCAGTGAACACGGGGACAAGCGGCGGGATGGTTGGAGCTACCCACGGGATGACAGGTTTTGGTTGATTTTGTGGCGGCGGGGAGAGGACCAGAGGTGGCGGAAAGATTATTGTCGGCGGCGGAGGCGGCGCCGCTGGTAAGCGCGGGATGGCTGGAGCTACCCACGGGAAGACAGGTTTATTTGGTCGGTTGTGTGGCGGTGGGGAGAGGAGCAGAGGTGGCGGAAAGATTATTGTCGGCGGCAGAGGAGGCAAGTGAAAGAAGGGCGGCGGAGGCGATGGAATAAGAGGTAACAGCGGCGAGCGGCATGGCCTGAACCTGGCGCCGCCAATAATGCCACGGCGGCGGCACCTTCTTCGGCCAATCGCTCCGCCGAAGACGGTGATGATCCGTCTACTCTTTTCTGGTTCATTGTCTTTTTCTGTCGTGGGAATAAGCTGATGGATATGCTTTGGGTGAGATCGAACAGCATCGGCTTGCAATAATAAGGATGATGTAATTAGCAAGAGTGCTAATAAAATCACTCCCACTATACTCCCTCTCTTCTCCATAATCCCAACTATACCTTAGCTTCTTCATTACAACTCGCACACAAATATATACTCCCTGACTCCGTTTAGTTTAGCTACAAGTCTAGAACCTCCTACTCTCTTTTTTTGGGAGTCAAAGGTATAAATGATAATTACTCCGATTTTTTAATTAAGTTCCTAGTTTGACTTCAAACATATTAAGAAATAAATTTGATTTTAATATGGAGTGCACTGTTTGAACACTGTTTGACACCGTTTTAGTGTAAATCAGGGGCGGATCCAGGAATGAGGGGTGTGGTGGTCTAAGTAATAAAAATTTTCGTTACTACATACAAAAGGTTTAGCTTAGGACTGATAGTTATTGAACTGGGTTTTTTTCGAACTACTCGAGTTCGATCGTGATTTCGAATTTAATTTAATGACCAAATCTTAACGAGCTTCAATCTCGAACACGGGCTAAATTTTAGTTTAAATAGTTTGTTTTTACAAAAAAAAGGCTGCTATTTTTTTGAGTTTGAATAGTTATTCAAGCTGAATTCGAGCATAGTCATGTTCAGTTCGATCTGGACTCGAGCATATTGATAACTTATAAATTATAAAAATAAACTATATACTACCTCCGCCCACTTTTATTAAGACTAATTTGACTTTTCAAGTCAAAGAAGTTAAACTCTGAATGACTATATATTTATACAATAAAATTGATAATATTAAAATGAAATGGAAATGTTCTTTGTTAAAAAATTTATCATAAAAGTATAAATTTAGTAAGTTTCACATTAATACATGAGTTAAAATGATGGATCAAAGTTTACCATCTTTGACTAAAGAGTCAAAGATGACTAAATAAAACGAGACGGAAGTAGTATATCTAAAATTTTAACGTTTTTAGTGTGATTTATAATTTTATTATTGATTATTAAAGATTTTAGTATTTATTGATATGAATTAAAATACTTCTATAAAAGTATAAAACTAATAAGCAAGTAAAATAGTCGATGTACATAAAACTAATAAGTATTCCCAATTTTAAAATTGAATTGAGATTTTGAATCCATTCTTACATGCCTAAACAGTAAGTACATTGTTCTCTATTCTTTAATTGCATAATAAATAAATCATTTTCTAATCTTTAATTCTATCTTTAATCATTATAAATTTATAATAAATAAAAACTATTTTACTATCTAATGAAAATATTCAATTAATAATCAAATAGAATTACAAAGTTGGTAGGCTTGGGTTGGGCTAGACATTAATTTTGAGGTGGGCTGGAAATTAAACATATACCTATAATAATAAAAATAAATTGGGCTGGGCTGGGCTGGAGCCCACCCCTGCCCCAACATAGATCCGCCCATGGTGTAAATCATTTGCCAAATAAGGAAAAGTTTGAAGTAGGAACTTTAATATGGACCATCCCAAAAAGGAAAATAGGAACTTAATTACGGGACGGAGGGAGTATTTAATTATTGATATTGTTGCGTTTTGGTACTGAAACTCTTAGATGAATCTATGAGTACCATAACTACAAATACGTGTTTCAATTTACAACATTATTCAAATTTGCTGCCAAAAGTCACAATCAAATTTTGATGTATAGATCGCATATCTCCACCCTACAACGATGACCTGGACAAAAGTAAGGTGAAGTGGATTTTACGCATAAAATTCTGACCGCCACGTATAATTTTTAAAGTTCTTTATTTATTTAATATTTAATAAAATAGTCAATATAGTCTACTATCTTTAAATAATAATAACGATACAATAACAAATGATATAAAACTGTATCGAACATTTTACTTTATAGTAAAATTTATTATTAATAAAAAATAAATTTTAAAGAATTATTTTCATAAATTCAGTCATTCTCACTAATCTCACAATCATGTCTACTCCATTTTGACTTTGCACGAAGAGGAAGTTGAGGGAAATGTTGTGAACTATCGAATTTTACCCAAAAGAGAACCAAAATTTTATATTGAGACAAATTGAAAAATGAAATATTATTTTAGTATAGAGTATTATATACTTCTATTATTGAGCTACCGTAAATTTTATAACTTTACTACGGAGTACTTCGTATAACCATTATTACTGCTAAATAAAAGTCAACCATAGATTTTTGAGAACTGTAGACACTAATAATGTAGGATGAAATGGCATGGTATGACCTTGTTTTACGTGCCATCTGGAATTGGAGCCAGAACTGGTCCAACCGTACAACCACCCAACATTTAATGCGCATATGAATGAAAAATGTTACCGGCTGGCCAGGTTTTAACTTCGAATCAGGCGGGCCGGTAGTGGCATGGCGGCGTGAAAACTTTGGGCCTTGGTTAAAAGTAGTGCGTGCATGCCAATTGTATCATCGGGGAAGGTCAATGATATGAATTTGGAGTGAATCGCGGTGGTCAGGGGTCTCGATTTCGATGTAATCGATAGGAAAAATCGATTGGATACCTAGGCAGTTAAGCGCGTGAGCGCCTAGGCGTCTTGGTGGGCACTCGATGAATAAATGAGGTAGAGCGCATCTAATGAAAATGATACGAATTGTATTCTATTACTCCCTAGTTTACATCAAAGAGGCATAAAATAAAAAATAAGGCCCTTAAGGCAACTTATGGATGGAATTTACAAAAGACAAGTAGATGTATACATTGGCTTTATCAATTTCTTTTAAGACAATACTTTGTATAACTTTGTCCAGACACATATGGTTTAATTTGGATAGTTCACTACCAAAAAACACGGGATTGACAGAGATTTTGGCAGAGATTATGCAAAATTCGTGTAAAAAACACTTTGGATCAAGCTATTTGGCACGAAAAGTCGGTAATCCGTGCCAAATTACGTGTCAAATCCCGTGTTTTTTTTGTAGTGGTTCTTCATTGGTTAATGTGTACAAGTAGATAAGTTGGGTCTCTGAATTTGGATCCTCATGAGGATGTTCGTGAGAACACATTCATCGGTGCCTCATGAAGAGAATGCAGATGGCTGACCCTTTATAGATGCTTAGACAATTAGACGTTTCGTACGTGTCTGGTCGATCTCTTTCATGGTGGTAATGGTCTATTAGACGCTTCAAAAGGAGATGGTTATTTAATTTTCTTTATTGGACCATACACATGATGGGTTGGGCCCAACACAGAAATACCCCAAATCCAATAGGTATTAGGTAAGTATATTAACCCATTACCAACAATGAAACTCACAAAACAATTCAAATGTTTTTTTTGATAAATTTAGCTAAATGCTTAACCTATTTCAAAACAGTTTAAATCTGTAGAACGTTTAATCAAAGTTTAATCCCACATTAAGCATCAACTATGTGAGAGTTAATTAGAAGCTGTTGAAAATGTTAGGGTGTTGATCGGTTATCAAGGCTAAATCTCCATTAACATTATGGTGGTCTCAATTGCTTTTAACCAAGACCCAAATTAAAGTATTAAAATATTTTAAAACTTTGGATATTGGTTAAAACCTCATATGCCTTTCTAATGGACTCATATGCATTAAAACGTCATCACCATAATGACTCAATTTTCTAGGGGGCGCCATGTTAAAAAAATTAAATCACTATGGTAAGACACTTTAGTTACATGAGTCAATAAAGGATTCATATGGGGTTTCTTGATTTTTTGCTTTGTTTATCCCATTCTTTGTTTTTATTCAAGTTACCTCATACAGAGTATTAAAACTTTTTGTTAACTATAGTGTTTTACAAATATATTTATATGTTATGTCAGTATTAAGTGTTTTATCACATATGATAGTACTACGTATGATTAGAAAAGAGGAGCAGCAGCCGA